CAGGGAATTGCTTTTGATTTGGAACTAACATGCTGTTTGTATACTGACTGGGAGGAGGGGACAAAGACACGAACAATGAAGCTATTGGAAAAAATACATGGTCATTGGAACCACCTCAGAGGTACCTGCCTCAGGAAATACACAAATAAAGGGGTAACTGTAATTAGGAGAAATATATAGTTGTTTGTTTTTTCTTTCCCCAGCAACAAGATGCAAAGAGCAGTGGGCTACTAACAAGCCTGGAAAGATTTTTCTGAAGATGGAACAAAGTCTATTTGCAGAGCAGCCAACAGAAATCCTTGCTATTGACTCTGAGACAGGAATAAAGCCATATAAACCACTTTTTAAAAAATTCCAGCTTTAAAAAAATCTCTGTATTGGCTCTGACCTGGGTTTGGAGAGTTTAACTGAGAGTTCTGGTGTTCTGGAACGTATGTTCATACGTATGGAAGGCGGAGAGGGTGTATTTGCCTCCTGGGTCCATACAGTGATTTCTGAAATGATTGCCGAGAGGCAAAACTAATCCACTGGCTGATTCATGCAGTCTTTGCTGCCTGGAAGAAGAGAGTCAGACCGGGGCCGCAAGCACAGGGCAGAGTAATGTTGACAAAACAGCCAGTCCTTACTCCTGCACCTCTCTACCCGCTCCCAAAGAAAGAATTCCCCCACCAAAACTGGTGGGTCCAGGCTGAGATGGAAACATTTCATGAGAAGGATGGACCAAAGTCAGAACTTGGGTTCAGACATGCTTAAGTTTCTAGCAGCATTTAGGTCAAAAACATGGTTCCACTTCCTGGGCTTCTGAGCCTTAGACACAGAAACTGGAATCCAGATCTTCACCGTGCCTTGCACACGTTAAGCCTCCTAGCACTGGTCCAGATAATAGCAAAGAGTCACCATCTGGCTGGATTTTACGGTTTGATGAAGTGCTCAGATTTAAGGCAAGCACGTGTCTGGCACCTGGGGACTGTGGAGTCCTGATCCCAGTTCTGGCACGATCTTCCTGTGGCCCTGGGCAAGTCACGTCCTTTTCAGAGGAGGGAATTCATCAAGTGCCCCATGGCCTTGCTGAATCGGCAACGGGCTGTAAAACAATCCTCAGCTCCAACTGGAGGAGAGGCCGGCTGGAGGGGTCTCTCAGCAGTGCGGAGCCAGCTCTGTGCCACGGCCCCAAGACGCTTGTGCTGGGACACGGCCGAGGAGGGCTTCTGCTCCCCACGCTGCTCCCATGGGTAACTGCAGGAGGGCTGTGAGCCAGGTAGGTCGTTTCAGGGCTTGTGCTCCCTCATGCTAGGGCCATCCTAGCCCTCGAGAGCCTTAGAGAGAGAAAGTACAGACACGTTTTCAGCCCCTCTAGTTTGGTTTTACAGCTGCGTGACACCAGTTATTCTTCCTGGCAGGCTTTACAGGTATGTCCTGAGCAGGGCTTGCAATCATTTTCGGATGCACAGCACTATTCATTAGTTTGCCATTTGTTATCACTAACTGATGAAATATTGTTCAGTCTTTTTTAGGCTTTTAATTATGACCTACTCCCACTTTGCTAAAAGCCACAGGTATTTTTCTATTTATCCTCAGAAAACCCAAGAAAAGACATACAGTAATTTCTCAACATCATGGGTGTACATTTTTCATTGGTTTTCCTCCTTGTTTAAGCAACAAGTAGGGAGCCTGAAGAATTAAGAGCTGTCTTTGCTGCACATTGAAGCTTCTTTGTAAGTAAAACTCTTAATGAGATATGGACATTACAAACAAAACCAATTGTGCTTAGTGGGAGCTCTTTACTTTCCACATCTTAAAATTATTAAATCTCAGTATGCCTATATTTCATATTATATCCTCTGAATGCCAAAATCGGCCAGTCTGGTTTCATTTTTCTTTATAGTTTGTTTTTCTAGTTTCCATGTTTGGAAATATTTACCTTAAAAAAAAAAACAACCAAAAAAACTTGTAAGGGTTATGTAAATGACTTGAAGTGAAGCTGTTTTCCTGAACTCCAAACAAGCAACCTACCTTGCCCACTGTCCCAGAACTGGCTAAAAGACCTGTGCTTTGCTCTGCCCCGTAGCATCCTGCAGCCCATCCCAGTTTCATTCTGTTTCTCACAACAGAACAGCAGAGCTGGACATGTATACTGTTTGAAGGGGTTGCTTTTAATTAATGTCTTTGTTTTGCAGTGACATAATAGACTTGATTACTGAATTCTAGGCCTGTAAATGCCTCTACTTTTCAGTAGCATTTAATCCTTTATCTGCAAAGTAAATGGCAACTTAAACATACTATATGGTGTTAGATATCTCTTCCAACAGCAGCACACACCTCTAGCTTATCTCAGAAAGTGGACTGTATTCAGCATTTCAGCTGGGACTAACGCTAGTGACCTTCATGCTGAATAGCATTTCTAGAAAGCCTCTCCTGGACACTAAATAGAAGAGATAAAGAAGTTGCAATGGAATGAAAACTTTATGGCGGTTTTCTAGCCATGGCTCCTTGTGCTAAAGCCTTAAGATTTTGTCAAGTGTTGTTCAGAATATTGTATCTCTTTCAGCAATTAGACAGTCATGGCAGGGGTGGTTGGGGCAAGTCTAGTTCCAGCAGTACAGCCGTTAGCTGACATAAGACCTCTTTGTGAAGGCATTCACTGTATAAAAAGGGGGGGAAGGGAGAGTGGCTAGTAAGATAATTCAAAGGGCTGCAAAGATGAGGCTCACCAGAGGAAAGTAGTGTGATAGCTCTGGGGCTCTGAGAACACATTTTACCTCATCAGTCCATATGGTGTAATTTTTCCTGGCTGCAGTAGGATTCTTTCTTTGAATTGCCACTTTGACCAACCATATTCCAGGAATCCATAGCTGTTTGTTCCGCTTCTGCTGCTGCTTTTGTAATGCTTATTCCATTGCCAAGAGATTACTTGCAGGTGTCTATTACAATGGAACATAGGTAGCCTCTTAAAGACAGGCAAAAAGTAAAAATCAGAGTTTCAACTCAAATCTGCACTCAAATAAGCCTCCAGTGTATGCAGAGATTAGGTTAGACAGCAACGATGTGTAAATGGAACTGATGTAGGTATCACCAGAATAGTTGATAGTGGGTGACCCTCACTTACTGCCAGCCATGTCTAGTTTCTGTGTTCTACTGGATCCACCATTGCTAAGGCTGCCCCTTTCTTCCTAAACTTCAGCTACCACAGAGGATTTCCTTCACCCTCACAAAACCTTCATCCCCATGCTTCCATCAACTTGAGGTAAACTAGCTGCAAGGTTACCCCTCAGGGCTGCGCATAGACCTGTTCTCTCAACTGGGTTACTCATGAGCACACTCCTTTGCTCCTCCTCTGTTTCTGCTATACCTGCTTACATTTCCACAGGTGTAATTGTACACATCGGTTAGTCTTTAATGCCCTGTAGCTCTGACCATCTGACCTAGGAGACCACTTCAGAGAAGACTAGCTACAAGAATGGTGTAGTTTCCTTGACCCAGGCCAACCCTTTCCCCCCAGCAGGCCGCAGCCCGTGAGGCTTCACTCCCTCTGCTGGTGTGCCCGAGCCTCAGTTTGGCAATCTCGGGGAGCAAAGCAAAGGTGGTTAATTTGGTTGGGACTTGTGGTTAACCTCTTTCTCCAGTTTGAAGCAGTACCTCACTCTTTTAGAACTCTCCGTAAATAACACTGAGCTGTTCAGATCCTGGTAGAGGTGCTTCAAGAGCTTTTCCAATCAAAATGTGCTGTGTTGACATCTGTGCTGTCATTAGTCCAATTGCAAAAAAAAAAAAAAAAAAAGAAAAAAAAGAAAGAAAAGAGAGAAAAGAAAATCTGATCCTTCAGACTTGATTTGTAAGCCTTGTAAGCCCAGACACAAAACTACTAGGTTAAGCATTTTGGCGGAAGCTTAAAAAGCAAGCCTACTCAGGCTGATACTCATCTGTGCTTCCTAAGCAGCTAAGAGAACAGCGGCAACATGACTGGAAGAACAGTGTCAGGATCAGCATGCACAGTTCAGCCATACGAGGACTTATGAGGAACCAAAGAGCATCTTGGGACTTCCAGATCATAGGCAGTGTTCTGTATCCTCACTGATCCAGAGTGCTGCCTTTCTCTGAAGCACCTGAACATGCACATACTTTGTCTC